TGTAATGGGCAAGCACTTGTAATGATAAGTTCTTGGCGGTAGACATTTGTGAGAGGCTGGTTTTGGTTCAACAGTAAGCAATAATCATAAGACGATTGCAAGGTAAGACTTACATCATCAAGCACGTTTCGAAGACGAAGAGGCTGAGGAACCTTGAATGGCACGGAAAAATGCTTCAGTTTCCTTAGTGACTTGAGGAGTTGGTTTCGAAGTCGAAGGGGTGGAAGAGGAGTTAAGGAATCGAGGAGCGACCTTGTACGATTTCGGAGCGATGCGATGATTGTCATAGAAGCTGGCCTTGGGAAGAGTAACAAAGCTGACCTTTCGCTTCTTCAACGGCGGGGAAGATGGGCGGGATGATGGACCTTGAAGATTCTGAGTTTCTTCCTCTTCCTCTTCCTCAACATGAGACCTTTTCCCCAGTCCTTTCCTCCCATCACCTTGAATCTTGCAGAACTGATTGATCCACTGTTGCGAATCCTTGACAAAAACCAATGCCTTGCCGTTAGAACTGAAAACGAGGGGGATTTCGCCATACTGGGCATTATCCTCTGATATTTGAAGAAATTCTATTGAAATCATGATCATTGATGGGCAATTAAACGACAAACAGGACTTACTTTGATCCCAAGGAATGATCTTCATCTTCCCCGAGTCCAGCAAATTGGCGAGCAATGCCCATTGTTTCTGAGATAGCTTGTTTGAAATAAAATTTGGGCCCAAGGGAGTGTCCACCTTGTTTGAAGGCCATCCGGTGAGCGCAACCTTGTCCGCCTCTGCGTAGTTTGCGAATGTTGTCAACGGCATTGTTGTTCTTTTACTCTTTGGGCGCGGAACGGTCTCAACTGGGTGAACTTGAGTAAATCCAATGACAATTCGCATGTCCGACTTACGCCATTTAGCCATAAAAATCTGCTTGAACTCCTTTTGACTATCCTTCGATGGTGCATACCTTTCGGAAGATGAACTTGTACCTGAAGTCTTTCGGCTTGCGTTCGCTGCAACAGGTGCATCTTTGCTTCCTTCATGGCTGTCGTCAATCTGTAAGCCTTGCCTCAATTCCTGTTTATAACGTGCAGCTCTACCGTGCCAAGTTAATCAAAAATTGTGAAAAGAACTTAATGTGTGCCTCACCGAATGGTTGTGGCGAAGATGTCCGTCCACTTCCTAATTGGATAATTCTCGCGTTCGAAGATTTCCTTTAAAAATGCTGAGTTAACAAAGAGGCCATCCTTTTGATGTGCAGCCGGCTTGTCTCCTGAGTAAACAATAAAGCCCGCAATGTCGAATTCGGGGTCGGTGCGCCGGATGATGTTGAGCTAAAAGAATACTCAATGAAAACCTTCAAGTAAAGAAAATAAAATCACTTACTAAACGCTCAATCATTGTGCGCCAGTGTTCAAAGCGAACCTCAGGTGCGACAATAGAAGAGCCACCGTCCACGATCTCATCATGAAGGTGTTCGTAAATTTCCTGCATACGCTCTTCCTTTTCCTCACTGGTGGTAGTGCCCTGCATGTACTCAGTATAGCACTGATCCATGAACTTGGCCTTTTCTTCCTTGGTCACTGCCCAGAATGCTATTAGAACTACATTTGTCAATTGGAAAAAACTGTGCCACTTACTTCCTTGCATGTCATCCTTGCGCGTCTGGCTAATATACGATCGGAACTTGTTTGCCCTGTTGGGCCCTCGTTTCTCCTTCAACAGAAGCTCAGCCCGCTCCAAGACGAACTCAGATCGCCGTCCGAATTGAGTGCCCAACTCAGCCGCCATCCGGCAGACATACTCGCCAAACAATGAGTAGCACGTTT